TCTGTCTGTCTGTCTCTCTCTCTCCCTCTCTCTCTCTCTGTCTCTCTGCCTGTCTCTCTCTCGAACTGAACTTCCTCCTGCCGGGCCGCGGCTTCCAAACCCTGAGCTCTACATCATTACATCCCAATCGCGGAGCTGTGAAAGTCTAGACCCGAAATGCTCTAAATCCTCAGACCGAAAGCTCGAGCCTCAAATCCTAAACGCTTACACCCCAAATCCTAACCCCTGAAACTCGAAATCCTAAGGAAACGCTTATAGCCCTAATGTCAGGATGTGCAACCTCGGCGAGGGCCAGGGCTTTCTCCTGGCCGCGGCCGTGGACAGATGGGGGGTTCGGGGTGCTTGGAGTCAGGGGGCTTTAGGGTTTATGGTTGGTCAAACAGGTTCTGTAAGTAGAGTTCGAAGCAAGATAACCAACTCCGGTTTAACAATCTACTTTCTGGCAAGGTCCCTTGCAGGGCATGGGATCATCATGGTGGGGTTGGTTTTGGATGGGTTCCAACCGCCAAACTGCGAGTATGCGGCATCTAGCATACTCTACATTACTCTACCATACTTTATCATACCATACGATACGACGCTATACGGTACTATACGATAATAGAGAATGACAAGAATCCGTGCTGAGTGCTTGGCTTCGAAGCTGCACCATTTCCCTTCTCGGAAGGGTTGTGCTGACTGGAGGACACCAACCGCGAGTCCACGGGGTCTACGGCCGAGCTCTGGCGCTTCAACCCCAAGCTTTGAGTGCTAAAAGAGGTCGGAGCAACGCGTAAGATTCTTCCCTCATGGTCCCAAAGTACGTCTAGGAAACAACGCCCAAAGCCCTATTCCTGTTCTCGTTATGAAGGCAACTCTTTTTAGGATCTCAAGTGTTGGGATGAAGGATATGGGGGTTTCCGAAAATAGGGGAGCCTCATATAGCACCCTAAATAGTAGGATCCCTATTATAAGGACCCCAAATAAGGTACCCCCAATTTCGGAAACTCCCATATGGCTCGGATGAAGGATCCCTGGTACCAGTGCTCTGGAGATGCCTCCGCCTGGCAACGGGCTCGCCCCTTTGAAGCCCGGAGCTTCGAGAGAGCCTCCAATCTACTGGGCCTTGAAACGGCTGCTTTAAGGTTTAGGGGCCTAAATAATTACCAAATTGGATTGAATGCTATTTTTTTTTTTGGGGGGGGGTTTCCTTATTATGTTTATAGTGTAATGGACCCCAAAACCCTATTCTAATTATTCAGGCCCCTATATTAGGGTTTAGGGGCTCCTTCTAAAGGGGGTCTATAATAAAGGGGTCCTAGGTTATAAGCGTTCCCTTATTGGGGTCAGAGGTTCTGAGAGAAGCCTAAGTATTGATCGAGACGGACACCTAACTCCAAGAGCCCAGTGGGGGACTTTATGTTGTATGGCCAGAGAGAGCTTAAAGCTCTGAGTTTCAGGAGTTTTTGAATCACGCAGGCGGCGATGCTTGCTAAAAATGCTGGGGAGGGCATAGATGGCCGGTGCTGCGCCCACTGACAGCTACATGCGCCAGTTTCATGTCATGTTCAGACAGTATGCAGATCTCTGACAAAAGGTCCGGACACAGCAGAGGCTACGGCTAGAACCTTAGTACTTATTCCTAGGCTCTAGACTCTACACATCGTATCCCCAAACTAGGTATAAATATAGGCACAACATAGGCATAGACTGTTATACGCCAAAGCCCCATCCCCAAACAAACTTAAAGCCGAAGTCCATCCTTCTGGGTTCGCGCTGGCCTCCCCATCTACTTAGAAGCCTGAACCGTGCCTTCAGGCTTCCGTTGGTCTTGGCCATTCTTGGCAGTTTGAATCCGTATGCATGCAAGGGCTAAGGAGATCAAAGATGCAGGGGGCCTTGTCCAAGCACCCTTATGCGTCTAAGTTTGGCCATATGTTGGGCTGAAGGTCGCTTGAGGTTGAGGACGAATAGAGTTTGGGACAAGACCCTGGAACAAGGCTGTCACGACCAAGGTTTTGTGGTTCCTGAAGTCCCCTTAGCTAAGCCCCAGATCGCACACACTAGCTCCCCTAAAGTCTAACGTGCTGAACAATGGCCCCCTCGGCTCACCGGATGTCTCCTGCCAGGAGCGCAAGGTCGCTCTTACGGAAAGAGTCGAGCGCGGCGCATGCGCAGACAAAAACGCAGGATCACCTGTGCTTTGCTGCGAAGTGTACGACATTTCTTTACATGTATACACACATACATACATAGCTACATTCATACATGCATACACACATGCATACATGCTACTTGTGTGTCTGGGTATATGTGTGTTATACATATTATATATAAATACGTATATATGTGTATTGTGTTGGTGTGTTTGTACTTATTCAGGCGGTAGACATTGCAGAATATGAAACCCCAGCCCAATAAGCGCCAGAACCTTCTGAAGGGTTTCGGAGCCCAGAAGCATAGTGTAGGAGCCTGAACACTTAGAAATACCGTTGCACTTGTAGTAGAAAATGCCACCCTCAACCCGTAATTAGTCTAAGTGTGAAGGCCTCCCCCCCCATTTTGGGCGTGGCGGGTGAGGTGGCTAAGAGTGTTCGGGTTGAAGCTAGGGTTTCTATAGCGATCTCTAGTGTGCACACCAGGGTTTTCTAGGGCTTTGAAGAGTTTTGCAGGCTTTGCCGGGGTTCACCGTAACGGGTTTGTGCGGGGTCTGGGCTGCGGTCTTGGCTTTCTTCTGTCCAGTGTTCGAAGCTGTGGACATTGATCATCGTGGTTGAAATCCAAAGTCTTTGTCGACCTGACTCACGGCCAACCCCTTCCCGTCCCGAAAGCCGGAAAATGCTTGCTTTGATAAACCCAAGGGTGCCCTCGCCGGCCGAGGAAGCGCGGCCAGCTGAAGCGATCCACCACGGACATGGCCTGGGCCGTAAAGGGGAAAAGGCAAAAACTTGAAGATCCGACTTTCCACCTTCAACGACATTCCTACTGGTCCTACAATACTCTTTCTAACGATGTCCTCGCTTCCTACGACCACCAGCACCAGCATCACCACTACTACCACCACCGCGACGACTGCTGCCACTACCACCACTACCGCTACTACTACTAAGACTATTACCACTACTGACTGCTGCCCCTGCCACTATTACTACTGCTACTACCACTACTGCTGCTACTGCTACTGCTACTACTACTACTACTACTACTACTACTACTACCGCCCCCTCCTTCGCCCAGCAACACCCAAAGCAGAAGGTCCGAAATCACTCGACTTCGATGTTCCAAACCCGAGGTCCACCTAGCTATGACCTGGTTGGACGGATTGCAGAAGGCGACCTTATTCTGGGCATAGTTTCAAGAGTTCAGCGCGGGATCCATATTGCTTGAGTTTTGTTGGGGTGCACTTTGGTGCTGTTTCGGTTTCGGATAGTTACGGATGGTTCGTAGTGGACCACCGTATGTTGATTCCTCTATTACTGTGTGCGATTATGCAGGTCTCGACCCATGTCTTGAGCTTGGAATCAGGATTGGTTTTCTGCTGCTGTAAAGCTTCCGATGCTCTTGTCATAATCGATTTGAAAAGCTAAATCTGGAAATCCCGGGGCGAACTGGCGAACATCCTCTAGAATTGCAACTGGCTTCAGGCCGTATGTGTTTGAGCTACCTCAGCCACGGAGTATATCCAGAAGATTCAGCCCAGTCGGCTGGGGAAGTCAGGATCAATGTCAGGACTTTGGTTGTAGAGCTCGGAGATCTTGCTACCTGCGGCACATGTCAAGACAGGTAGCAGGCTCTGCCCTGGCACACTGTGCAGGACTGGATACATAGGACGTGACCCATGACAACGAAACCCTAAACCTGTCAAACCTCCTCGCCAGTCTAACCTGAAAGCCCGAGTGGGAACATGCAGGATTCTGCAGTAGAAAACCCTATCAACTCCTCCCTTAGCGCTGCACAAACTCTACACAGCCCCTCAGTATTGAAGGCCGCTGTCTTGAATTCAGCCCTGGCATGCGCGGGACGTGCTTGGAAGGGCTATGGCATACAGAGCTGCTGTCATGCTACCTGCGCTGCGACCGCTGTGGGCTGACCAAGAAGCTTGTTGAGGTGTCGTGTAGCTTTTAGACCCTCTACCGGTCCATTGCGCAAACCGGGCCTCCTCAGAACCAGGGGTCCTCCGTGGATTTTGGGTGACGTGCATCCGAGTATTTGTCTTAACAGGGGCTCCCTAAAGGAACGGATGTGAGGGGATGATGATCCGGAAGAGGCCCCTCAACATCTCAGGAAAGAGAAAGGCTGGCGATGGGAAGCCGGTTGCTGCCCGCACCGAGATGCCCACGGCTGCCCAGGGCAGCTGTCGCTGGCAAAGAGGGCGGTTCCCGCATGCTTCGATTTAACGATGCTTGGGTCTACTGAGTCTACTGGAGCTTTGGGTTTCGAGGAGTCAGAATGATGGAGACCAGTTAGAGACCATGTAAGCAACCAAGGGAGTGGGAGCGGCAGACACGCTCGGACTGCTACTGCCGCAGTCTCCGATATTTGCAGTGCGACAGCTGTGGCATGGTGCGACGAGAGCAGGGATGGTACTCCCCAGGGGCTCAGTGCGATCATCACGATACATTCGGTTGCCCTGGTCGGATGCATCTCGCTGGAGGTGGTGACTATACCTTCGCAGCTTTGCAACCGTGGGAGCAGTGGATGCAGACGAAGTGCAATTGCATCGCCCCGGCGGTGAACCTGCGCCTGTGCTCCATTGCCGGGGAGGTTCGGGAAGTCGGTGTTCGGGACGACTGGACCATGGCTCAGGTGAAGCTGAAGATGCAGCAAGTCCATGACATCCCGGCAGACCAAGTGTGCTTGAGTGTCGGAGGGGCCATTCTGCAAGACCGGTGCCTTGTGAGCCAACTTCAACTCAAGGGTTCCGAGACAGTGTCTTGGGTGCGCAGGCATCCAGAGGTGGCTCTGTGGCTGAAGCTCGTCCAGCAGGACTGGCAGAACGTCCGGACTGCTCCGGAAGTAGCCCGCAAGTCAGCCGAGGTGATGTTCGAAGTGATGCGTCAATCGCACGAAGGGCTGCAGCATATGGACACCGAGCTGCTTCGTGATGCGTACTTCCTTGGTCAGGCCTGTGAAATGCGCGGCTTCCCGGGCTCGGACGTGCTTCCGTAAAGCAGCTGCTTTTGGCCTTACATGTGGTGTCTTTTGTCAGTTTCGCGGAGCAACGTGCCCTCGAAACCTGCGACCTTCAATGTTGCTGGCTCTCAAACGAACTAGAGTCAGAGAAAGAAAGCACCCATAACTCATGACTAGACGGTCCTTACATTTTGCTGATAATCCCAGCCCTGCCCGAAGTCGCTAGCAGTACCACAGAATCTCATGATGCATGACTTGTTACTTGTACTTCAAGCTAGTCAAGGCAAGACCAAGCATCCACACACGTCCCCCTGTCCCCCGATTCGGGCCGCTGAAGTTTCGGGACTGCGCAGCCTTGACGATCTTGACAGCGGAAGGGGTCCTCCCGGGTTCACGGAGGTCTGGGTCTCACTTGTGCCTCCCTGCTTGCGACTTCCCAGCCCACCTTGTCGTTTCGAGGCACCCGACGTGTCATCGCCTCTTTCCCATCATGTTTTCAGGTCTAGAGCGAGCAAACAGCTTCTTAGGATTGTTGCACAGCTTGACAGCTCCCAACCCCCAGAATATGCCTCCAAGGCAACGGTGGTTGCAAGATGTCGTGGATGTGTTGCTGCTCCTCGCCTTCGCCGCAGCGACAAAGGACGAGGGTGTCTCTCAAGTTGCATTGACCTGCGCAGCCCTTGCAAAGACCAGCGCCTGGGACTCTGTGTCCTTGGTTGTGACGCTGGTTTCCAAGGTGGGGGTTTCCTAAAATAGGGGACCCTAATACAGTACCCTAAATACTAGGATCCTTATCATAAGGACCCCAAAATAAGGTACCCCCCTATTTTCGGAAAGTCCCAGGTCGACCTTGCAGAAGCCATCAGGTCCAGCCTCTTGGACAGGCTCCAGGGGCTTCCTCCAGAAGCCTTGGCCGAGGGCTTCAACGACTGGGCCGTCGAAGACCTCGGCTTGGCCTTGCTGTTGCTTGAGGCTCACAAAGCTGCCAGGGAGAACCCTGCCCGGTTCCGTGCGCGTCAAGACGGCCACTTGAGGCGCTTGCATAACATGCCGAAGAGGAATTGGGGGCATCATGAATTCGCTGTTCAAGTCTTCGTCGACCATGAGGATCGGCTGTCAAGTGCGGACTTTGAACGATTGCTGCGCCACATGGTCTTCAACATGCTGCTGCCTGAAGAAGTCTTTCGGCTTGTCCCGGCATGTCTGGCCCATGCGCAGCCTGCAGCGGCTCGAGAGCTTTTCGTGTTCGCCGCCAACACTGATGAGACAGAAGCTATCCGGCTCATGCTGAAGACAGAGCTCCCGCTGACAGCTTTGGATGGCAACATGTCCGACGTTGCACGCGCTTCCATTTTCCATGCAGTGATGTCTGATTGGGCGCCACATGGGTCGCGGGATATGGCTGCCCTGCTCTCCTGCATAGAAGAAGATCGCCGGCACATTCAGCAACTTCTCGCATGGGCTCGGGCGACTAAATGCGTGGCCATTGCAGGGAACCACCACTTGGAGGATGCCCTGCTGCTTGCCCTGGCGAGCAGGGTGGAGGTCGGCTCTCAGCTCCTGTGCACTCTGGCTGCATGTGGTGTCCTACCCGGTGCTTTAGCACCAGAGATTCCCTTGGAGTGGCTGGGACACTTGAGGGCAGTCCCTGAAGGCAGGCAGGTCGTCGCGCAAGGGCTCCTGGCACAGTTGGAGCCTTGTGAAGACGAGCAGCTAGTCCAGCGGATGCGCCGTTTCTGGCAATTCGAGGTGTGGTCGGAGGTGGATGGCAGCACTTGCGAAAGAGCCGTGAGATTGCTTTCCAGGTTCTGCCAAGCCGAGCAGGGCCCCGCCACGGTGGTTTTTGCTTGCAAAGTCCTGCGTGGGCTGCCCTTAAACGAGCTGCCCGGAGCCGAGCTTCTGTATGAGCCCTCGCTACCCGCTCAAGCGATTGGGATCCGTGCGGAGCAGCTTGCGCATGTCCTGGCCGACGAAGCCAAGCAAGCTGCAAAGGGAGCTCTCGAGAAGGCTCACGAGGCTCTGCGAGAGGCACATAGAGCCCTACGCCAGGCCGAACAAGCCCACCGTGGGGCGGATGGAACGCGAGACTTGGCACGCCAAGCTGTGCAGACGGCGCTGCGCGGCGAGCAGCTAGCGCTGCAGGCGCTCGAAGCGACGAGTAGCATCATGAGGCGCTACTGAAATCGCAAGCTGCAGACGCCAGAAAAAGACCCACCATCCTCTTTTCAGCGCTATGTCGGGGAAATGCTTTCGTTACTAAACTGGACCACGCGGCACCCCAACAAGCTCGTAGCCCAGTCTCGTCCTCTAGGCGACATCCAGGGCCAGGTAGTTCGACTGTAGTGGATGGATCCTCTTTCGGTGGGTCTGGGCTTGGTTTGCCAAGCACCCTCGGAGCGGGCAGGATCTCTAAGGGGGACATTCACACTGCCCGAGTTAGTTCGATAACCCAAAATCAAACTCCAGAGGCTAGACTGATCTAGACTGCATGCCTCCAAGCCATCGATGCAGGAGCAGAGGCTAGACCTCATCAATACGCTGAACGAGGTGACAGAAGGCAAGATTTTTGTGGAGGTGCGGCTGCACAGAGAGTGGGGGCGCTTGTCTTGGCAGAGGCGTCTGGTCCTGAAGCCTGAACCCCAACTCAGCCCTAAATGGTAAGTTCGCTTGCAGTCTCTGTTTCATATATACCAAAACCCTGAACACCAAATCCTAATCTGTAAATAATGACACATAAACCCTCTATATACTGCAATTATAGTAGACAGTGACGGACTATTGGACTAAAGCTCGCAAGTGCTACAAGTGGCTGAATACAGGGGCCTCAATAGTCGGAGCATGGTTCTTAGAATAAGGTTCCGTTCATCGGTTCTATGCAGGTAACTTTTGGAACAGGGCTGTAGAAGAGCGCAGCGACGGCTTTTTAAGTTCGGTGTTTTGCCAGGATAGATCATGATTTGGGGGCCAAAAATATTCAACAATCAGAATAGGGTTTGGGATCAAGTGAAGTATAATCAAGTAAGTATACATCTACAAGGTCGAACTAGGAGATACGATGTATTACTAATCCCTATAGGCTACAGGGGCCGAGGACTTCGAGTTCTTGCTGTTTGTGTGCGTGGACACTAGTGGTGTACCAACTGGTATTTGTATGTTATGCCCCGGCCCTCTGCGATACATTCTAGACTCTGGACTTGTTCTATCTTCCTAAACCCTCTAAACTTGTCTGAGTCTGCCGGCTGCTCCTGAAGCCGCCGGAAAAGGGAGATGAAGTGAAGAAGAGCTCAGTCCTTAGAGTGTCCAGCGGTCAGGTGGAGAAGGCACGCCTCACTTCGATGTTGGCCTGCATCTCGGTCGGTCGGCGCGGTTCTAGGAATCAGGGGTCGAGGCCCTTGGGAAAGGGGCCGAAGACGCTGGGTATGCTCTGCTGCACGTGTAAAGGGATTACGCAGGAACATCGCAACTACCTCTTGAAGCTGCACGGCGGAAACCCATCGAGCTCCAGGGGAGTAACAGCGGAGAAACGAGCCTCTGTGTGTGTGTACATTACATTCATATGCACATATAATCACATATAGTAGATAATGTTAATGCATGACAGTCAGAGTTTGGCACGCCCTAATTCACATGTTGTTTGGCCTCTTGCTTTTTATGCCCCAGGCTGTTTGACTCTGACCGGCATTCCGAGGCCAACATGAAGGAGGAGGAGGGCAAGGTGGACGAAGCAGCGAGCCTGATCCAAGAGGTTCAGGCAGGGCCCCTGCAGCTGTGGAGGGTTCAGGGAGGGCCTTCTTAGATTTGTCGGGTGCCTTCTACGCGCAAGTCTTGGACTCCGCTGCTCCAGCTACCTACACACAGGCAAAGCTTGGTTCCCCTGATGTTTCTATATATATATATATCTATCTATCTATCTATATACACACACACGGAGATTTCCGGTCATGCCGGTTGTCAACTTCCAACGCTTCCCTTGTTTTCGTCCTCTTGATGTCGTCGTCGTACAGTGAGTGAACTAAGAATCTATGGAGCCTCAAAGAGCTTGAACTTCTTGCAAGATGACAAGCCTTGCAGATACAGTATTTCAATGGTTTTGTCGTCAACATCCTCAAGATTGGGTCTCATAGATCTCGGCAGGTGAAACTTGTGCAGGTACAGAGCTATGCGTCCATAGCTTCGTGGGCTGGCATCACTGAATAGTCTTCCGGCCCCCTGCATTCTCGATCTACTTTCAAGCAATATTGTATAAAGCCTCCGACTCATTGTGCTCAGAAACTGGATTTCCAGACACACACACACACAAACACAAACAAACGGATCCACAATGCTGCATGGGCTGCACCTTAACAATCCTCATGTCTAGGTCAGGATCCCATAGCAAACCCCTCTCGGTGCTTCAACCGCCAAAGGGGAACAGCTCAACCACCTGCTGAGGGCTTTGCGGGTGGTGCCTTCGGTTTGAAGTCTAGGCTTGGGGTTGAGGGCCTAGTGACCGTCATGCTTTGCTGCAGGTGGAGTCCTTCGGAGCTATGGAACGGCGCGAGAAGACAGTTGCTATGGCTCAAGCTGGGGGGGTATTCGGATTGTTCCGGGGCTATTCTACGCAGGGCAGGGTTCAGAATTAAGGCTTTCACGGGTTTAGGGCTTATGATCCGTCTATGAGAACTGTGAATGTAGTACCTTGAGACTTGTGAGGGTTTTGGATTGAGGGCGTGTTTCTCGGTTCGGTTTTGAGAGTTGAGTTTTCAAGAGATTATCACCCAGGTTTGTTATGGCTTTGGGTGATGACCTTCTGACGGACTTAGGGTCCATGTTGTACCGCGGCCTTGTCCATAAACCCCACAAGCCTTACCCACACCCTTTGACTCCTCGCAGTCCCAACCCCCGCTCCTGAAAGCACTAAGCCGGTCCTAAACCCTATGCCCTAAAGGCCCTACACCCAGAAGGGAAGCCCAAGAGCAGTGGATCCCAAGGAGTACATCCTGAATCAGATGCGCCTGGTCCTGGCGAAGAAGGACTTCGTGGGGAGCTCAGGAGATCTTCGTCCAGGTTGGGTTTAGGGCTTCTATACCATATGACTGTGTGTGTGTGTGTGTATGTATATATATATATATGGTACCC